GTAATGTGCTTGCCCCCCCCCCCCCCCCCCCCCAAATCTGTTTCTCCAGCATCTCAGGGGCAGAGGCAGGAAAGCCAGTGGGGGCAGAAAGGATGCTGGAGCAGCAGCGGTTTTCTCCAAGGACTTTAAACGGGGTCACTGCTGCATGGCACTGTCCCTAAGGAAATGGGATACAAATAGGTGCTTTGGGGGCTGCAATAACGTGGCCTTCATGGGACTAAACCTAGTGAAGAGGTTTGCCAGCAAAGCTGTGAGCCTGTGGTGCTGGCCACGATTTTTAAAAACGCCTTGTGAGGTTGAACGTGGTAAGTATGAGGCGTCCAGCCTAAGATCCCTGCCTTTTCGGAGCTGCCTGTCCTTTGAAACCTGGGATGTCTAAGCAGTTGGCTTCCACAGTCGAATTCATAACCAGACCAAACCTTCTGCGGGCCTTAGGAGAGGACTGTGTAGCTCTGGCTTTGCTATAGCACTTCCCTTCTGGGGTCTTAATGCTCTTTATAACTCTGTTCTCATTAACCAGTCATCTGTTGCAGCTGCTCCCCGTGTCCCAGGCAGGCACATGGCTATCCTCTGACCACCTGCCGCTCCGTACCAAGCCCTGGAGGGGCTGAGCACTTCCTCACAGGCTCCTTTAAGGTGTTTCTAAGAGGTGCACAAAATCACCGAACCTCTGAGCCCCTTTTTTACCTCCACGATGTCCATTGGCTTTGCCTGTACATTAAGGCATACCTGCATTGCAGGCAGGGGCATGATGCGGTGTTAGTCTCGATAGTTTGGGTACCGACTGGGCGCACAGCTGCTTGGGTTGTGCCAGGACCCCCTGACCTCTTGCATTTGTACATGGGTAATGCTAACGTCTGTTTTGCTTCCGCTCCATGGCTATCGGTGCCCCAGCTCCCCAGATTGGGTGTGCACAGAGCAACTTGCTCGAGCTTTGCTCACGATGAGAAGTGATGTCTTTTAAGATCTTTTGACTCCCGTGTGTAACTTGTTACATCCTGAAAAGAAAGAGACTGATTTAGAGAGTGTCACACTGGGGGGGGAAACCTAGGGTCCGCCGTCTTGCCTTGGAGTTGGACATTGCTAATTGCTTCAACAGAGATATAAAATCTTGGTAGCAAATCTTGGTGGTCTCCACTCGAAGCCGTCCCCTTTGTTTCAATGAGGGTGCTGCGCAGTAAAGCACTCGAGAGCGTGGCTGTGCTACCTGCCCCCATCACCTCCGACGGCAACTCCCTCCTTCCCGGCCCTTCGATATCGTGGCTTGATTCTGACCTTCCTCCCATGTCTCGTTGCAGTCGAGCATCACCTGGCGACGAACATCCAGCGCAACCGCCTGGTCAAACACGACTTGCAGGTGGCCAAGCAGCTGCAAGAGGAGGAGGACCTGAAAGCGCGTGCTCAAATCCAGAAGCACCAGAAAGACATGTAAGTATGGGGCTGGGGCTGGGGCGGAGCATGCAACTGCCTGCTCCTGGGTCTCTGCACTCAGGGCGGCTGTTTCTTTTTTCATATGACAAAGTCCAGGACCAGCCTTTTCATTCCCTGCCTGTATGTGCGTCTCTGTCTGCATCCCTCCTTCTCTCTTCATGGTAGGAGTCATACCTCAGTTGTGCTCCTCTGCCTTGCTCGTTAAGTGACAAGCAACACGGCCTGAATACGCGAGCACAGGCAAGTGATGCTGGCTTTTCCTCTGCCCCTTGCCTTGCTGCCTGACCTCAGGCAAGGCGCTTCACACAGTCCCCCAAGTGCAGGGGGACTGTGAGTAACTGCCCAGTGCAGGGAGAGACCTGTGAATGCATAAAGCACTTTATAAAACACCAAGTGTCCTGCCAAAACAGCCACTGCTGCCAGGTTCCCAAGTGAGCAGCCCTTTGTGACCGTGTAGCGTATGCAGCTCTGTTGTATATGCCTTTGCTTCCTTTGTGCTGCCTCTCTACCTTTCCAGCAGCCTGTAGAGGTACCTGCTATTTTGCAGTGCAAAATCGGTGTGGCAAGTTGCAAAGGAGATGCACATTGCACCCACCTGCCCGGACATTTGTGTTCCATCTGGTGTCTTCATGTTCCCAAAGAAATGCTCCCTGGGTCTGAACTAACGTAGGCTGCTCTGTGCTAGCCATCTGTGCTCTTATCCTCTGGTTTTAGAGGGCCCTCTGCAAGGGAGGCAGTAGCATGTTTGCATGCATGTGTGCGAAGCCTTCACTTTGTTATTTTTCAAAGACCTGTCTCCATCGTGGCTCCAGGCCTAAATGTGCTGGTAACTCCCATGTAGGCTAGATTTTGCATTGCATCCTGCAGGGATCCTCATATAGCTGGTTGTCCTCACTCACTGCCGTGAGCCTTTGCAGACTGCAAATCATTTCCCCAATGAGCCAGGCTACCAGCAAAGCTGCTGATGCATTCAGCGAAAGCCTTGAAAAGCAGCATGTCAGCAGCAGTTGGGCTCCTGCTTGCACGCACCTCTGCACGGAGGATGTGCAAGGCTGGGAGCGCTTGGTACATTGGGAGCTGCTTGCTTCTTATCTCTCTCCACTCCGGCTGCCTCTTTGATTTCAGGCAGGATTTTGCCATGTCTGCAGAAGGATCCTTTCTGCTGCTGCTTGCTGGGTTGTCTAGGATGATTTGACACTGCAAAACCCCAGGGGATAAGGAAGCATGATTAGACTGTCTCTAAAGAAATAAGTATCTCAGCCCCCAAGGTTTGTGAGGATTTCCTTAGCAAGGAAGCACTTGGGAGGAGAAAAATGTCATAACAGAAACGTTTCCAAATGGGTCTTGTTTTTTAAAGATGGCAGCGCAGCATCCTGTCTCCTTTGAAACTAGACCACTTCTCTGGACTTCATAATAGCGCCCAAGCTCCTAAATTCCTTCTTAACACATGTGCCCACACAAGCGAGCTGAGCTGGTATGGAAACTTGCTTCTTCACTGCCTTGCTTTCTGATACAGCAGGATGATTTTAAAGGGACCATTTCAGTTTATTTTAGCCCCCTCCCCTTTATATGCCTCCCCCTTACCCCCAACAAGGGACCTCCCAGGTCCAATGTGAACAGAGATGACTCAGATTTTTTTAAAGCATTGCAAAGAAGAGAGAAGCATAAATTCAGATCTTCCTATGCAGCAATTTTTAGAGAAAAGTCCAGCTGTTCTAGCTCCCCAGGGATGGAAGGACATTTGGGCATGTTCCTCAGAGGCCCTAGCACCTACCTGGCTGACTTGTAGGGGCTGCAGGTTGTTTCTATTCAAACTGAAGGGACCTCAGTACCTTTACAATTAATGGAAAGCTTTAAAATTAAAAATTTAAAATGGAAGCTTTAAAATTAAAAATGCCCCTTATTTATTTAATTATTTTTTATTTTTTGCTGATGGTTCTTCCTATTACAAGACTTGCCTCTCCTAGGCTGTTAAACCAGGCTCCAATATATTACTGTCAGCTCAGCAATAAAAGGCAGCATATCACTTCATTACTGTTCGACCAGAGCTTCTTCCCAGTTCCCTGAATGTTGCATCAGGGCCAGGAAGAGGCTTTTGCTTTCATAGTATCACAGAAAATTCAGGTTGGAAGGGACCTCTGGGAGTCACACCTAGTCCAGCCCCTGCTCCAAACAGGACCAGCCCCAACTACATCATCCCAGGCAAGGCTTTGTCTACCTGGGTCTTCAAAACCTCCAAGGATGGAGACTCCACCACCTCTCTGGGTGACCTGTTGCAGTGCTTCACCACCCCCTAGTGAGAAGTTCTCTCTAATATCCAACCTCAACCTCCCTTGCTGCAACTTTCATGCCATTATTCAAAGCACCCACCCACCGAAGGGGCTGCAGAGGGCTGGGAGCAGAGAGGCAATGAACTGACCCTTCTCCTTTGAAACAGGCTGAGCTTGCTCCAGTCTCCCCCCTGCCTTTGCTGGAGGGGGGCATTTTGAACTGGTTACCAGCTGCTCGGCATTGATGGATTTAATTGCTTCGATCTGCTTGCAGATTTCAATGACAGGAACTCCCAGCTCTTTGCACTTTTCAGTCTCTGATTTCTTTGCTCACTCACCATCCAGATTCACAACCTCTGAGGCGCCCCTTTGAGCTTGGGGTCTAAAGGAGCCACAATTTAGACCCTCTGCTGCTCTTCCATTTTGCTGCCTGGCTGCTCAGGTGTACACAGGACTCACCCCAGACCAAACCCTACTCAGGTCCAGTTTGCCCAGGGTCTGTGTGTACACCAGACCCAGGTTCCTGGTGTGCAGCCAGGTGAGCATACCTGCCTCAGGGGCTGCGGAAGGAAAGGTAAAGGTGCTTACTGCTCCATCATGAATTCAAACGCTGCCAGAAGTGGAGACCTGGGAAGGCAGTGTGAGCCGAGAGTAAAGGAAGTGCCCCTGCCCCAGCAGAGGGAAAGGCAAGCACACCTAGCACACCTTGCTAACAGCCTGATATAAATGAGAGGCTTGAAATCCCTGGTCTTATTCTAGACCCCATCCTGCAAGTGTATCTGCATGTGCCGAGCTGCAGCAGGGCTCTGCATGTGGGTGTCGCTAAGCGTGCGTGGGCAGGGGCGGGGTGCTGGGATGCTGGCTGTACAGCCTAGATAGTTGCCCTCTTCTCGTTGCCTGCCCTCCCCTGTGGCATGGAAACGTGTGTTTCTTGGCTGTCCCTCTCCTTGCCTCAGTGACCCCTTTCCTGGTTTCTCACGGTCTCCTGCAGCTCTTCAGCCTGGCTGCAAGGATCTCTCCCCATCGTCCTTTCCCAGATAAACCACTGGCCCCAGACTGCCCTCCTTGGACCTTGTCTCTGATTCAGCTCCTATCTGCCCTTGCCTCATTTCCCTCTTGCTATGCTCTCAAGCAGGCCCCTTCCCGCTTGACCTTTGTGCTGCTCCTCATGTCTACTCCCATCCACCTCCTTCAAGCTCTCTTCTCCCCAAACCTTGACACTGAGCAAACTACTGATGCATTGAGACCTCTGTCCTTTATACCAGCCAGGGTCATTTGGTTGTTTCTTTGCCCTGCCTGCACCCAGCTGCTGTCTCCTGCTCAGATCATGGGCTCTCTAGGGCAGTCTTTCCCTCCTGTGTTTGTACAGGTTCCCGATCCAGGACTCAGAGGTGCTATGAAAATCCCTGCCTAGTACGTGACCGTGCCAGAGAGCGTGTCTAGTGGGTTTTTTGGCTTCTTTCTGGCTGAGGTCTGCAGTATTCATTGTGCATCATTGCTTCTTTCCAGAGAACGGCAAGATTGCGAGATTGCCCAGGAAATCCAAGTGAAACTGGTCATCGAAGCCGAGCAGCGGCGCAGGCAGGAGGAGAAAGATGAGGTAACCCCCAGAGTCACTGGTTTTGGTCGACCCTTTCCATGCAGGCGTCTTGCAGCCATTGGTCAAAGAGCATGTTGGCACAGGAGGGGGTGGGATTGTGCCTTGCCCAGTGTGGATGTGCACGGTGGGAGGAAGGGTGCAGGGAGACTTCTTGTGAAAGGTGAATTGCACTCCTGATGCCCCAGGACTGCAAGGACCGTGCATGCCTTCTGCCACTGGTTCCTGCTTCCCATGTCCCATAGCCCTGTTCATATTTGGGTCCAAAAATGGGCACATACTATTGCTCTATATGTAGCCGTCGTGAGATCCTTGTTGGTGCATGGTTTCCCCATGCATGGGCAGGCCAGTGGGTTGTCTGTAGCCTGAAAGTTTCCTCCACATTTGCACATAGTTTGTGTCATTGGAGCATCCCTGCAGTTGCATGTTAACTTCAGTCTTACTGACCCCTGTTCGAATCATCACAAAGGACAGGTCGGTGGCAGCCACAGGAGCTATCGCAGGGTGCAGAGATCGCTCCCGCTGTAGGAATCATACATGATGTTTTTGGGAGCAGCCCTGGAGGCAGACTGGTCACCCCCTTCATCCAGTGCAGGCATTGACTTTTTAGGAGGAGGGTGGTGAAGCATTGGAACAGGTTACCCAGGGAGGTGGTGCAGCCTCCATCCTTGGAAGTGTTTAAGACCCAGCTAAACAAAGCCTTGGCTGGGATGATTCAGCTGGGGCTGGTCCTGCTCTCAGCAGGGGGTTGGACTAGATGTGACCTCCTGCAGTTCCTTCAACCCTCCTGCAGTCCCTTCAACCCTCATTTCCTATGATTTCTATAAGTCTGACTGCAAATACCCATGCTCCCAGGAGGGTTTCAGTGCAATTCAGTTTATTGCTACTGGCTTTCTTAGCATCTCTGCCAGGAAGCCAAGGCACCAAGGGACAGCTGGATCAGGAACTGGCAGAATTATTTATCCTGCAAGTTCTCTGTTAGGCCCCTGGCGTTACACTTAACACACAATTAACCAACTAATCACATCTTAAGGAGTAACCCAGCTGCATGTTCAGGCCATTCATGGGGCCACAGAAGAGGGAATAAGCCACAAAGATTTTACACAAGATTTGTGTATAAAATGTTGTGGTTAGTTCCCACTGCGCTTTAAATTGAGCATGTGGCTAGTGATCTCCTGGGATTGGGAACCTCAGTTAAAGTTTCAGAGACTTCAAGGCCCCAATGTACCTCTGCAGCCCCCAGTGCAGGGGGAGCCTGGGATCATAAGTGGGGTCCCAGACTCTCCCTGTACCAGCAATAGGGCATGATTGGGATATGACCCGCAATCATACCATCGTGCCTCCTGCCTTGCACACATGGTGTGTCACCAGGAACAACAGCTGGGAGTGCAGGTCAGATCCCACTGTGCCTTTAAGTAAACATCTGTCTGTAGCCTAAGACGGGCAGAATGACAAATGAGCCTCTGCTTTTCTGACTTGGGTTGCAAAAGCATCTGATTACCGGCTTATAAATCACTGTGGAGTGAGGACTGTAAAGAAGTGAGAGGTGGTGGGTTTCCTGCATCGATAGTTGTCCTACTGCCTTGGACTCTGGCTTGTTTCTAGGGGGGCTTAAGGAATAAAGATCTCCCCCTTATCTTGGACTACATTGCATCTGCTCCAGCAAGCTCTTGCTCATGAAAGCTTTTGTGTCTCTGATTCAGTTATTCGATAAGGTGTGTCTCTACCCTGCCTTTTACTGTTGGGTTATTGGGGGAGGATCTTGCCACTTTACTGGACTGTAAAGCCTAGTGACGACCCTTTGGGGCAAACCCAGCATGTGCCGGAAAGCTGAGCTGGCATGCACGTGTGCCTAGATAATGCATCCCTAGCTAAAGGGCTTGTGCATTCAGCGTGGGCTCAAGGAGAGGCATGGCCCTGGGTCTGTCAGTACAGCCATTACATCCTCTCTGTCCTCTTTGCAAGCAAGAAAGCTGACAGCAGCAGCTTTCCAGCTGAGTGGGGAGGGAAGCACCTGAGAAATGGTCATTGCTGAGAACAAGCTGCCTCTTCAGCAATAAGGAAGCAGCTGAGAGTCCTGGGGTGAATGCTGCAGTGGAGCTGCGTTGCAATTTAAATTACGGCAGGCTCCAAATGCACCAAGATGCATCAAAGATGCTGGGTGGATCTACAGAAATAAATCAGCCAGCTCCCCGCTCTGAGGGAGAGGAGAGAGGACCTGAGCACCCATGCCATTAACAGAGCACTGGGTCAGCCTGGGTTTCCGCTTGTAAATCAGCCACTCGTCTCCTTGATCCAGGTTTTAAAGGACAGAGAGAGAGAGAAACCTAAGATACAGCTGAGCAGTGCCTTTGCAGTCCTTGAAAGTGCTCGTCTTAGAGTATTTCCGGCCCTTCCCACTCCAAATCAAAGCGGTCGGAGCTCAGTTGCACAAGGATTTGGCCTTAGGGACTTGTCTTCTGGAAGTGATTCTGATATTTTGGCCCCCGTCCTAAAAACATTAGAGCTGCCATTGACTGGGTTAGACCGAGTCCATCTTGCCCAGTCTTCTGTGTCACACGCAAGGGCAGAGCGGAGGCTGGAAGGGAGAGTGAACAGGGTCTGAGCAGGGTTTCCCCTGTTCCTCTCACCCTTGCAGCTTCCAGCACTTAAGGTGCAGGAAGGTCTGATGCAGAGGCCGTGCCCTTCACTTCCATGCTCAGTAGGAACTGATGCCCCTTTCCTCCAAGTGTGTGTGCAGTCCCTTTTTTGAATCTGGCTAAGCTGTCAGCTTCCACCACATTTGGTGGCCACAAGTTCCTACGTGCAGATCCATATGTGCAAAACCCTTCCCAGTGCATGCAGTGCTCCATATAGGATCATGGGAGAATAGGGCTGGAAGGGACCTTACAAGCTTATCTAGTTTAGCCCCTTGCTCAAGGCAGGATCATGCCTGACTCAACTTGCCGTTGAAAACTTCCAAGGATAAAGATCCATTATGTGCTACATGTTCAGTTTATGGCACCAGTGATGTACATGGGGGCTTGGAGCTCTTCACGCAGGTTTAGTCCCTAGTTAGCACTTCTGGCGCATCCCGTATCATGAGTGAAGGTTAGGCAAACATCTGCCTGGGCTGGTTTCGATAGGTCTGATCCTGCCTTAGGTAGGGAGCTGGATTGGATGTGCCCTCCTGAGATGCCCTGCCGGGCCTGCGCAGCTCTGAATCTGTGAAGTGAATATCCACATGCCATCCAGCCAGCTTTCACTATTGCAGCTGTGGGGTGTGGCAGACTTTACTTGCAAGGGTGTATTGTTTGCTAATTGTATCTGGTTTCTCCGGAGCTGATAGTGTCCAGTGACTGTTGTCCAATTGCCGCAGGGTTTTTGGTTGTAGCCATGTTGATCTAAGGACACAGGCAGGCACGGTTCTTTGGATAGATGTGACAGGGGATTTCATGCTTAGGGGCAACCAACACGGGTTCATCAGTGGCAGGTCCTATCAGACCAACCTGGTGGCCTTCTATGATCAGGTCACCAAATCCTTAGACGCAGGGGTAGCAGTGGACATCGTCTTCCTGGACTTTCGGCAGGCCTTCGACACTGTCTCTCACCCCGTTCTCATTAAGAAACTGGGGGACTGGCTGGAGTCAGATGTGTCGCCAGCTGGCTGGAGGGCCGCACCCAGAGAGTGGTAGTGGACAGGTCATTTTCAGCCTGGAGGGATGTGGGCAGTGGGGTCCCCCAGGGCTCAGTCCTCGGGCCTGCACTGTTCAACATCTTCATCAGCGACTTGGACGAGGGGGTAAAAAGCACCCTGTTCAAATTTGCTGATGACACTAAGATGTGGGGGGATGTGGGCACGCTAGAAGGGAGGAATAGGCTGCAACCGGACCTAGACAGGTTACAAGGGTGGGCGGATGAGAACAGGATGGGATTCAACACCGACAAGTGCAAGGTGCTGCAACTGGGGAGGAAGAAGCAGCACCATACCTACAGGCTGGGGAACTCCCTTCTCATCAGTGCAGAGGCAGAAAAGGATCTTGGAGTCATCATTGATGCCAAGATGAACATGGGCC